GAGGCAGGCGCTTTGGGTTATCATCTCTTTCGACTTCGGTCGTGCAAGCCATTGATCCATGGCGGAGATGAAGAAGCGCCGCGAGGAATCGCTGGCCAACCCGCTTCCGGAAAACAACCCGGAGTGGGAGGAAATGGAGGAAGTGCTGGTCTCCATGGACGTGGACGGTTGGGAAATCTATGTGAAGGAGACTCGACCCAAGGGGCAACGACTTCCCAATGAAGTCGATCCTGAACGTGCACAGATCCAGCAGGCTCCTACGGTGCAGGGTGATGCCACTGCGGCTTCATCGAACTGGCAGATTTTGGAGTCCGTGGATGCCGCACTGCCGGGGGAACCCGAGCACTTTGAACCACATGAGGTCAAAGAGCCGGAGATGGATGGTGAGCTCATCGACGCCATCCTCAAGCCCTTCTTGGATCGATTGCCAGGTGTTTCCGACGAGCGCGACATTGACGAGCCGGAGGCTGACGAGGAGATTGTCTTCAGGGACCCCATTGTCGGCGGCTCAGCATCAATGTTTAGCCAGCGGAAGCTGCGCTCCCATCTGATGAATAAGATCCACGCTGTGGACTTCAGGTTGGATGGTTCTGGCGTAGTGAACATCTTGGACACCGACGTCACACGTGCTCCTGCCAAGCTCGAACTTCGGCAGGAGTCCATGCAGCAAACGGAAGATGGTGCAATCATCATTCGTCGCTTCGATTTGACGGATGAGGAGAAGCACCGCCAGATGGAACGTGAGATCTTTGAGGAGCCCAAGTCCGCCGAGGAGAAACTTCGCGCGGGTGACCCTGCTGCCTCTCTCCAGATTGTGTCGAAGGCCAAGTCGAAGGCGGCTTCCAAATCGGAAGCGGCATCGTCATCGAGCGGCATCGCACAGGTGATTGGAGATACGGTCAGCCAGTTCATCAAGCCGAAGACAAGAGACCAAGCCACAATGGCTTCGTACAAAAAGGCTCCTCAGCTCCCCAAGATTTCAACTGCGACGGGAACGTCTCCCATGGCGTCCCCAAAGCCCAGTCCGCCGCCAACTCCAAAGAGTGCAATTGAATCCCCCAAGCCGGAGCCACCTGCACTCCCAGCGGAAGCTGCGGACCAACCTATGCCCAAAGCATTGCCTTTCAAGGCACCACCACCGACGTTGACAACAACCTCACCAAGGGCACCTCCTCAGAAGTCATCGGCACCAGCCGCTGCGCCTTCGACGGAGCCTGCCCGGAAGATTGCCAAGAAGGAGCCGCCCATGGCAAGTGCTCCTCCCCCGGGAACGGGTGGACCTCAGCCTCCGGCTGAACCGCCTTTGCGACCATCGGGATATCCCAAGTGGTACTTTTTCTCACCGGGAACGGGCGAGCGCAGGGAGTTCACCATCAGGTGCACAGAACTGCCTGGCCTTCGAGATCTTGGACATCTGAACTACGACGACTTCAAGTTCTCCAAGCGGGTCACTGGGTTGTTGCGCGGCTACGACCACAAGTTTTTGGAACCCCACCATCGTCACATTCCTCCGGAGTTTGATGACGAGCTCTACCTCAACTTCGAGAGCATGTACAGCTACTTGAGGAAGAGATACAGGACCCAGCTCTCAAAGCAGGATCTCTACTTGATCCTCAGGACACAGGACAGGTTCATGTGTCGCATTGAAGCTGGAATTGTCGGGGAACTGACAACTTTGGACATGCCGTATCGCATCACGCATGTGAAGGCCTGCCAAGGTCATGACCAATCCCTCATCGACAAGGTGGGGACGGCTCCGTTGGTCAAGCAGATCATCTCGCTTGACTACCAGTTCACGGTGGATGATTTGAAGAGGGGACTCTACCCAAGGGTTCCCATTTATCCCCACCTGGCGGAAGCCGAGGTCCCAGAAGAGTTTAGGGTGATCTACCATTACACTTCATGGGACTCCCTCCAGCAGATCATTTGCACGGGAATTTTCCCTGGGGCTACGTCTTGCAAGGGTCATGTGTATATGACCCGCCATGCGCCTTGGGAAATTGAAGGCCAGGATCCTGGTGTCAGGACGAACCGACCGCTTTGCATCGCGATCGACACCGATTGCGCTCTGCACTATGGTCTTCGCCTGGTGGAAACCTTGGCCGGTGCAATCATCTCAGAGGACTGGGTGCCCAATCATTGCCTCATCTACGCATTCGATTGCGAGAAGTCGCAATACCTTTGGGCCAACCATGGCTACAACGGGGTGAAGAAGTACCTTCGGCAGAAGGCCTCCGAGAACGCTCTTGTTTGGGAAGAGAACGAGGCTTGGAAGGGCACTCCCGCATACGAGGAACTTGAACGGTATGAGTGCTCGGACTTGGAGACGTTGAAGGTGCTCTTCGTGAACGAGTACGATCAGTGGAAGGACGTGATCACTTTGCGCCGTCCACTCATCTACAAAGAAGTTCCGACACCTTACCCTGTCGTCGATGAATTGCTGCCAAAGACCAGGCAGCGGCCGCTCAACTTCACCAACCTCCTCTGTGTGGCGCGAAAACCAACTGTGACGGCTGCTGGCTTCGACATCGCCCCTGACAACGCGCGGGAACGCCGTTCTGATCGCTTCGATCAGGAGGCATTTGACCCATCCGCGGAGGGGAACCTCACGCGCTGGCGGTATGTATCAATGCTGGCTATGCAAGAGTTGACATGCCCCCGGTGCAGGAAGATCTTTCCTGAGGGGATGTTGGTGTGCCTCGCATGCGGCTTGTCCTTGGCGACTATGTCCGACATGCGCCGTGCATGCCAAGTCTTTCGTTTGGAGGAGCTCGCCGAGAAACTTGGTTTTGAACTCACCCTCGACCTGCTGGGCGATGATGATGTAGCAGGCACCACACAAGGTGCCAAGCAGATCAGATCTGCTGCTGCTGTCCTCAAAAATCATGCCCGCTCATACATGAAGCAGGCACGAAAGGCGGGGATGACATTGCTCCAGCGTCTGGGAACGGACGCCCACTACGCCTTTAACTGTGTGGTCCAAGACCTTACACCTCGGTGTATGCATTGGATTACAGTCCTCGGCAACGTGGTGCTTCCCAACATCAAGCGCACGCGGGAGGAGATCCGAACTGGAAAGATTCGGCAGTATAAAGCGCGTATGTGCCTGGTCGCATACGAGGAGGGACAGATGCAGACGATCGTCGTTGACGATCATGTACTCATCTGGTACAAGAACCGCTTTTACAGAGCCAATACCAGTTCGCTGCCGCTTATGCCTTGATCCCAGTGGCTGACCGATTCGAGGTCCTGAGCGTCGCCAACACGACGTTCCAATCCCTCGCCCTGTCCAAGCAGGATGTGTACGCCGACATTCTCAGCTATGTCGACGACATCTTGCGCCCCCTCACGGAGGCAAAGGACACGGAAGGCGGAAGCCGACCCCTGCCTGCTACCAAGCAGCAGAACCCAGATGTCACCAGGTCTTCGCGTCCTGGATACGGATCACATCAGGGACCCACACACGGCTACAGTCAGCAGGAGTGGAACGATTACTACAACCAGTGGACTGACCAAGAGTGGGAGGATTGGCGCCGTCGAAATCAAGGCCACCAATACAGGGATCGACGTTGGTCGGGCTATCGCTGAGACACCGCGGAGGGGAACCTCTCGCCTGGTGATTTCTTTCTTCATCTGAGGCGGGATAGTTTTCTCAATGCCGAGTGTCGCACAGCGGAAGCTGTTGCCTACTTTGATTTAATTCGGGTAGGTGATTAGCTCCAATGCACGGGTGGGTGCGCGATTCCACCATCAGCAAATCTCATGTGTGCTAAGTCGGAATTTTTGCCAACTTATTTCAAGTTCACAACATTCCCATTAACGCTTTGAATGCATATAATTTGAAGCAGGCATTTGGCACTCATTTCATTCTTGCCATGATTCCTTCTTGCTGAGCACACGGCTGGTAGTTGCATGTACCGCAGAGCGGAAGCTCTTGCCTTGCGACGTTAAGGCAGCTTTGAAGCATTTCTAAAGGCTTCCCTGCGGGTTCACACCACAATTGAATTCAGCGTTTTGCCATAATTCATATCGCTTTGCTTTGGCAAGCTCCCGGGCGACCACAAGAACTTTTGTTGCCGCGTGGAAACGCAGGCCTATGTAACGGGCCATGACCTTTTTCCACATTGCATGTTCGACCACAAGCCCGGTAGAGCACAAAACTGAAAGCTGAATGCATCCGACCGAATTGATGTTCACTGCATCCGTTGACTTTCGTACATGATGTCGGGTCAATTGAAATGCACTGCCATGTTTTGCTCATGAGAAGTTTGCACACGCTGAGGTGTAGATGGAAAATCTACGAAAGGTTAGGCCGTGCTCCGGGGGGGTTTCGTACTTTGGGTCGTTGTTTGTGTTACTAATGGCATCCCTTAACTCCGTAGTACTTAGCTTAATTTGCAGCTTCACCCCATGTATAGGCTTTCTCTGCACGGGGGGTGTTGTTGCACAGTAGTAACACATGTATATACCATTTCACCCATATTACGTCGTGTGCGTGGCTCAAGAAATGCTGCGCAGGGTGTAGCTGTCGTTTGTGGTACGTTGTGGTTTGTACCCTGTTTCTACAGATAGATAGGATAGATCGGATAGATAGGATAGATCGGGATTCAGTTTGGGATTCAGTTCGGGATTTCCGAGCCAGCCGTATTTGATTTACCAAGAATTATTGTACCCCCTTTAGAAACATGGAACAACATCCTGGATTCAGACTTTCCAAGTGTAAAAAAGACATCATGTGGGTAAAACAATGCCATAAAACCATCAGTGATCATCACAAACCATCATAAACCAACATAAACCATCATAAACCATCATTAACCATCATTAACCATCATAAACCATCATAAACCATCAAAAACCATCATCAACCATCATTAACCATCATTAACCATCATAAACCATCCCACAGTCACCATTTTTATATGATATAACCATGTCATGGACACCCCAACAACGCCAACTCCTGGGTCCTCGACTTTTCCGTAAAAAAACGCGCCGAGGAAGTGGCATCATTTCTTGGCCAGGGGCTTGGAGGATTATCCCACTGGGGCGGCGGCCTTTTACCATGCCTGCCATTACAACGAGTATTCCGACTATTGTGCCCTGGATGCCCTGGATCTGGCTGGGAAATGCTGGGAACATCTTCACCGGATGCGGAAATACTGCTGAACATGTTTTGATCATGAAAAAAAATCACCATGTTCCGGTTCCTTAGCCACCCAACGCGAAGGTGTACTCCTTACCACTAACAAATCACCCATTTGAAACGGAGAAAACAAGAGAGACGCCGCAGCATCAAGCGTTTGCTTGATGATAAAGATCTTACGAGCAGAAATGGTTTTCATTCAAGTCCTGCTGGTTTTTCGGTTTGTTGCATTGAAAAATGCATTTCTTTAGTCAAATTTATTCCCCTTAGTCTGACATATGAATACATACCCTCTGGTAATTTAACATAGCTATTGAAAATGGCCATTGAAATAATGGATTTTCCCATTGAAAATTGTGATTTTCCATAGTTTTTTGTAGGTTTACCAGAGGGTATGAGGATTGACCTGTGGCGCCACCAAGGTCTCTACGGCCACGTGGCGGCCTTAACGTACCTGGCGCACCACACCACGCACGGCCGCTGGGATCATGGATGGTGCTACTGATGGGCCAGCGAAATCCTGCGCCACCAATTTGGGATGGTTGAAACCCTATGAAATCCCCGTCTGGTGGTCCTGGCTGAAAAGGGGGGAGCTCTACCTCAAAAATTTAGCCAGCTGCAACTGTTACCTGACACTTGTACCCATGGTTTTCAGCCAAGCCCCAGATAGCATCATTTCTGAGAAATAGAGTTTCAGGATGCAATTGAGCATGTGTTCATGTTACCTTGGTTCCACAGTTTTCAGCCACAGCTCGACTCGATTCCATATAATTTATGCTGACCTCAGATCCATAGTTTTCATCCAACAACATTGGGAAAACAGACACATCAACCAAGAGGTGAATCCCAAGTTTCCAGCCATTGCGCAATAAATCCTAGGGCCTAGGGTTTGAGACTTTGCAGTGGTCAGGTCATTGGATTCCTGAAAAGTCAGCGTGGGAGAAAATAATTGTTTTACAATGACCTTGTTGAGGCAAACCATCAACAAGACAAATCGTTTCACAATGGACTTGTTGAGTTGAAATCCTGGAAATGTGCTTCGCGCCACAACGGCGTACACTTTTTCGACATCTCAACTCCCAAAAGTGGTCCCCACCTGGTGTGTTTTGTGCATTTTGACTTGCAAATGTGCTTCGCGCCACAACGGCGTGCACTTTTTCGACATCTCAACTTCCAAAAGTGCTCTGAGACCCAGGTGTTTTGTACATTTTCGCTTGGAAATGTGCTTCGCGCCACAACGGCGTGCAATTTTTCATCTCTCAACTGGCCAGCTGGCTCCGCAACCGCCGAGCTGGCTCAGAGGATTTGGCTGAAACCTGGAGAGACAGTTGGTATCTCTGAGATACCTAACGCTGTGGGTAAAAAATTGGTGTTCCGGGGAGGTTCAACAGGATGTGAAAGATTCAACAGGATGTGCGTGTGTTGGCCTGCATCTCAGGCACCTATGGTTTCAGCCACTTGTAACATGTAAGTTGTAAGATGCAAGGTAACCTCACATCCCCTAGTTTTCAGCCACGGGAACATATTAGTATTTTTTTTACTTTGGCTATATTTTTGGGGTTGGGGTCATGTTTTCAGCCCATGGCTTTCAGTCTTGGCACCTACGCTTTCAGCCAGAATATTGGCTGGAATGGGGGCTGTAGACCCTAAGAGTTCCATCCATCGGGGATCTATGAATAATGGTGGTTTGATGGGAAAATCATAGGAAAACCATAGGAAAACCATAGGAAAATGGCGGTTATACCCTCTGGTAAACTAACATAAGTATGGAAAATCACCGTTTTTAATGGGAAAACTCACTATAAATGGCCATTTTCAATAGCTATTTAATTTTGACATAACCAGAGGGTATCAACGAGTGCAGGATTTCGCTGGCCCATCCACAGGATGTTTAACGGAACATCATGTATCTGAAAATGGGGCATGGCCGCCGTAAACCATGGAGACCATGATGACTAAACAGTGTACCAGTGGATTCTATTTTTTCTTCTTTTGGTGTGTTGGCGTATTTTTGAACGCAACCATTTTTCGGCTGTCTTCTGGCAGAAATGCCGCAGAATCTTGGCTTCCAAAATCTTCCAAATCAACGTTTCAACGGTTGTTTTTCCGACGTTTTCCGCCCAGTTCCAGCTATTTCCTGAGTTGTTTCCCCCCTTCCCCCCTCGCATCTGTTGCACCTCCCCACATCCCAAAAGCCATGAGATTTGGGACGGTTGGACCTGGCAGAGGTCAACGCTTGGATATTGCGGCGCAAGCCCAGCGCTTGCTGCACTGGAACCTCTGTTTGGATTTCTTGGAATCCTCCAGCTGGGTGCGCTGGGACCACGGGATCCACGGGGTGTCCTGGTGTCCTAAGGCTGTCCTAAGGAATGGACGTGACCTTTCACGAGATACTGAATGAGATACCTTGAATGAGATTATATAATATAATTTTGTATTTTGTCTTGTTGATGATCTCCGCATTTTTCTGGGTTAACGTGACCTCAAAACGGCCAACCGCACCATAATCACCATAGAAGATGCTTGCTAAGTTGGTATAGTTGGTGAGGGCACCCCACAATGGTGACTATTTCCAATAATTTCCGAATTCGACTGTGCCCAGATGGAAGGATGGAATATGCACTCCTCACAATCTGCCGGCAGGAGATTTGTAGAGCTGAACTTGAGGTCTTGCACCAAAGTACTTTTCTGAAACAAGATGTTTAAGGGGCGTTTGTGCGCTTTTGTGTGCCCTGTTCCCATTTGTTGCCTGTTCTATCAGGAAGATTCAGGAAGCACATGTGCATTCTTTCTTCCAACTACAATCTCTGTATATGGATCAACATTGGGTACCCCAAAATGGGATCATCGCCTGATATCGGGCAACGATTTTTCTATATTTTTCTGATGGTATCATTGAAGTGGGTGTGTCTGAAACTGGGGTAGACCCCAAGTATGGCAATTTCGATATGGAAAATGATCATCAACCCGTGGATTCAGGGGTAACCCAAGTCACACTCACACTTCTTTGTTGGATGCCTGCACTACAACTGGGATCAACTGGGACTTTGTCGGAGAGAACCACTGTGGCCATGGCATGCCATGGCTAGCGGCGAGGCCTCGTGGGGCTTTACCATGCTGGACATTTGGGACATCGTTCACAACTTCGTTTATCCGCAGGTGCCGGCACTACCTGAACTGGGGCACTGGATCATCCCACGGTCCTCGTGTTTAACTGGTTATACAGTAAGCCCGGTTGGTAAGTCCCCGTTTTGTAGCTTATCCCATCTATATATATATATTATTATATTATTATATACTTATAAATATACAGATTATATTATATCATATAGGGTTACTGTCTAGCTGTGAGATGATCCTCTAAACGGCTTCTCTAAACGAGATTTCGTTGTTGCTCATGGCACTTCCGGCGCCCAGAAGTTTTTCACCGCAAAAAGGTGACGACGCTGCACCAATTTCTGGAATGGGGTCCCACTAGCACTCCACCTGGAAACGACGATAGCACTGGGCCGCCCGGCTTTTGGGTCTTCGAACTGGGGTCTCATCGTGCTCTGTCCAATGAGCCCATCGCACCACGGCTGGGTCAAGTTATGGACTGGGGAGAAAGTTGGGGGGTTCCAAAAGAAACAACCCAAATAGGCCGTAATTCATATGAAATGCCACAAAACATCTGAAAAAGATGAAGAACTCCATGTCACCCTGGTCTCGATTGGGGACAAATGATGAAAAATCGAATCCTAGCGAGAAGGGATTGGTCATGTCATTTGCCATTCAAATTGGTGCCCAGGATCAACAGGCCTAACCGCACCCCATCTTCAGAACTTGAAGACTTGAAACACACACGTATCTATTTATATATATAATATACAGCAATGATTAAATTCTATATAATGATTATAATTATATATATAACACACACACATATATATATATACATACATACACACATATATATATATATACACATACACATAATATATATATATATATATTTGAAATGATATATATATATATATTATAGTGATTTATATATAATGATATATATATAATTTATATTTATGTTACTAAAACTGTTACTGTATGTTGCAGTCCATCCCACTGTTTGCTTTTTCTGCTGATTTTGGTGGCTTACCCCCATGATAGGTGTTTTCTTTTTTACCCCGCAATGAGTTGGGGGTGGGAAGACTATACTTTCCGAAATTGATATAAATGGTAGTCATCATATATAGATATACATTATATTCATTATACGCTTACATATATACGTATATTTATACTATATGGAACATCCGCAGGTAGAAAGGGCAGTAATGACTTACAAACCACATACCAACAGGGAAGGGTCAGCAGCTTAGTCCAAGGCCATGCTGAGCCATGTGCTTCCAGGATACGACGTGGCACATGAAAACTTCGCGCCTCGGCTGGGTTTGGGATGCCGGGATATGCTGTTTGGCCCTTCGAAGTGCGCCGAAAAAATTGAAGATTCGGTTCACTTGATCTTGGGGTTCAGTTGAGGAACGTCTATACGTCTATGAATTCTCGGATCAGGAGCTCCGTTGAATCTGAGGATATCTCTGATAATATTTGATAGTAAAACAATAGTAAACCATTCCCCAAATCACTTAATAAATAGGTGGTATGATTACCATTCCCAGTCATGGGTGATTTATGGCATTGTCTTACCCACATTATCTGATATATCTCCGACATATCAGCAGCACAGCTGGGAGATCTTGGAGGTGGAAGTCGTGATTTCGTGGGCCTTATCAGTGCTAAAGATAGGGAATGCAGAACGGGATGATTATTCACGGGAGAGATTGGTTGAGGGATCAATGGATTTTTATGGATTAGGTTCTCCCGGATCCATCCGGATCCTAGGTTTTCTCGCAGAAAGCGGCCTGTTTGCACCACTTGTATTTTGGATAAGATAGAGTATAATCATTAGAAGACCTTTATACGTATTGTTTAGAGGGGGTGGCAGATTTAGATCCTTCTGTAATGATGTAATATGATGGAAGAAAACATAATATACTGTAATACGTTCATTATAAGACCTTTATACATTTTGTTTGAGGGGGTGGCAGATATATATCCTTCTGCAATGACATCATATAATTCATATAATGGAAGAAACTATGACATAATATAACCATTGTAAGACCTTCGTACGTATTGTTTGTATGTGTATATATATATACACACATATATGTCCTTCTGTAATGATGTAATATGATGGAAGAAAATATAATATAATAAAACCATTATAAGACCTTTATATGTATTGTTTGAAGGGGTGGCAGATCTATGTCCTTCTGCAATGATGCAATATGATGGAAGAACATATAATATATATATATAATATATAACATATCAAAGTTTTATGCAATATGGGGTACATCGTGGGAACTAATGCAACGTTGTTGAACCAATGGTAAAAATGATGGAAAAATGGAGGGAATCCCTGTGGATTTGGATAAGAGAACTGTTAAAACCGTGGCAAATGGGAGATTATGTGAGTATGGGCAAGCGTTTGTTTCTGCGGGAATTGTTGATCATTGTTGCTAGATGTTAATAGTGATATATGGATTGGATCATTCCATATCATTCCCCCGTTCCGGAAGTTTAGCACCAGTACCCGCTGGTAATGACTAACATAGCTATTGAAAATGGCCATTTAGTTCGTGAGTTTTCCTATAAAAAATGGTGATTTTCAATAGCAAACTGTAAACGTTTACCAGTTTCAGTCGGGGTCATCAGTGAATTCGATCCCTGGAGGGCCCTGGAGGGCCCAAGGTCGCGAAGAATGTCTGGGGACGATCGCTTCCCATCTGTCGTCAAACGTGGCTAGGGAAATCCCCGAAAAATGGCGGTTTCGGTGGGAAAATCATCGAAGTCAATGGTGGATTTCCAAATTTCCCATGGATTTTACATGTTTGATTCCCAAGTGTCCGGATGGTTTCCAGTGCCCAGGTGAAACCGTATGAGGGCCGTGCAGAAGCCTTCATTCATCCCTTCCCCCAAAGTTGCAGTCCCAACTGCGACTACCAGTGCCCTGGCGGAAACATCTGGGAGAAAAATCTGCAGGAAAGTACAGGGAAAACCCTGTTTTTGTGATGGGAAAAGGCCAGGGTTTGCCATGGTGTTCTTTTCCCAAAGGCCGCAGAAGATGTTTGAAGATGTATGGATCATAATGGATCATATTACCATATACTATCGCCCAGACCAATGGGGAAGACGGGAACACACATTTATTGTCGGGATGGTGTTGCATCATTCATACAAGCCACTGGCCACCATCCAGGGTTTGGAGCGCACGCATATCCCATGACATGGGGACACCTACCAATGGAGCGCCGGGCAGCGCGTTGGAGCTTCCCTCAGCTAAGGCAGGAGAGTGTTCCTTACACGTTTCCAATCTTCATGGAGCTTCGGAAATTTGCTTGGAATGTTTTGTTGTGATACCCTCTGGCAAACTAGCATAGCTTTGGGAAAATCACAATCTTAATTTAGGTAAATCAACATATATATATATATATCATAAATCAGCTATAAATTGTTCATTTTCTATAGCTATACCTTAGTTTCCCAGAGGGTATTTGAACACTTTTTTCCCCCTGATTTTGATAATGGACAAGTCAGCCATACTTGGGATGATCGAAGTTTTTCCCGGTGAAAACACTGTGGAGAGAGTGTAGAGAACCCTGATTGTTTCGCCGACCAAGCCAATCTTTAGCCATAGGTGGAGGAACATACGCAACATCCGACCAAACATGATGTTTTCTTTATCGGTTGTTTCCACAAGGATGCGACAGGTTGGGATGTCCAGCCAAGGCTTGCTGATTTACGATGTTTATGAATCACCAGCATCTCTGGGTCATGATTCCCCATATGTTGACCTGGCACCCATCAATAGTCCCCCTGGTCAATGATGAATGAATGATAATGAGGAGCGGGGAATACCATGTCGAGTTTGAGGCTGTTAAATATATGTTAAAGCACTTGGGATTGAGACGACCTTTTTTGGGTAACCAAAAATGCCACGGCAATGGAAAAACCAGTTTTTTTTGGATGGGAAAACTCATGAAACCTCGACTCTCGAAGGGACGATGAAGGTGGAAAAGTTGCCGTAGATCTACCGATGGAGATTGCAGGAAGGTTAAGGATGGATTTTAGCCATGCACTGATAAAGATGCCTGGTCTTTTCGGGATTACATTTGATTTGATAGGCAAACACGCTGCACACATATTTAATCAATTTTAATCATATTTGTCCCACAAAAGTGTTAAACTTTCAAACTTTCAAAGAAGGGACCAGCAAGAAAGGCTGTTCCAGATACCAACCACCAGCGCTCGCCTTCAGCCCTAGACCAGATGGCGATCATGACAATGACTAAGAGTTTGCCAAGTGGAAAATCACCAAAACATAAAACATTAAAACCTAGAAGGTGGTGCCCCCCCCAGTTATAAATTGGTTTATAAGCCCATTAACTATAGATATATCACCTATAAACCATAGTTATTGGAGTTATAAACCAACTTAGCTATCTAGGGGGCCCCACACTGTAGCAGACAATTTACAGTTTTGTTCACATCTTCGTCAGATTTTCTCACTCTTTCGCCATTTGGACCCAGGACATGGAGGCTTCCAAGTCGTCCTTCCAAGCCTGGCTTCAGGGCGGGCTGATGGGGCTACATGGGGGGGGGTTGGTTCATGTGTGGCATCTCCAACAAGATACCCTAAATGGTAATGACGAACAGTTTGCGAACTTGAAGATGGCCATAGAAATAGTGGTAATTTAACAGTTTGCTATTGGAAATGACCATTTATAGATATTTTTAGTTTATTCACATAATAGACATGGTGATTTTCCATAGCAAACTGTTAGTTTAGCAGAGGGTAAAGTTTTGCCAGGATGTCATAGATGATGTTTCCCCAACCAATTATGGTTTATCGCCGCAATGCCACGTTGATGATGTCCATTGCCAAGAACAAATGGAAGTAAATTCCGACATCATTCGGGGTAAACCATGTAAACCATGATGTTTCCGATGAGTAGCTCGACTGTGAACTCCACTTTTTCGGCGAAGGCGGGGTGGCCTTGGAAAAAAAAGGGGTTGAAATCAGCGAAAAGAAAAAATCCCGGAAACCCCCAGGGATTTCCACACTCAGAAACCTCAAGGTTTACTACAGGATGGGGCCCCCCAGTTATGTTTGTTGCTTATAAAACCATGAGAACCTCCATGAACTAGTTCGTTATATCTACCATAAACCATGTTTTTTCGCCACTTATAAGGCAACTTAGCTATTTTGGGGGCCTCATCCTGTAGGACATTTCCCCATTTTTGGAACCATTTATACGTGGTGTTTTTTGCTATTGGGGCGATGGGAGGCTATCTCGGCCCGTGACAGTTTAGATATCAACTGCGGTAAGATATCTATATAATTAATGTATTCATTAATGTATTCTAATGATCTCAAATGTATTGTATGTAATTATTGATATTTGTATCCCTCAAATTGCCAGACCGAAAACTATATGATTTTCTCCATCCCGAATGCAGGAAATTATTTCAACAAACCCGCGGTGCGAAGAAGTAGCCTCTTTCTCTGCACGAATCCCATGTTCTACTGCAACTTCTTCGCGGGTCTCAACAAGACCATCCTGGGCTACTTCGGTCTTCCGTTGCTGTACATGGTGCCGCATCAGGACGGTGCTAGGCGGGAAGAGAACGCACAGAGACATAACTACGTACATCCCTCCATGCATGCACATATATGTGTATATGTACGTATACACACACACACACATATATATATATATATTATGTATACACACACACACATATATATATATATACCATGGGGTTCCAACGGGTGGCGCTATGATGCCAAAATCTAAGTTCTCTAAGGGTATGTCACCACGACACCCCTTAACTCAATCAAAACAAAACACTACGTTATAAGTATAACAAAGGTAATATATCACAAATTTGGTGGTTCCCATAGATTTGGTGGTTCCCATAGATTCCCCATCAACCCAAACCCAGCCGCTCTCTCCACCGTGGCCACGTCGACGTGACTGGCGGTTTCACATCGGAGCTCACCAGGTGCCAAGTGGTTGGCTGGGAAAGGTAGTTGGTTGAGGGTCACCATGTTCAGCTGTTTCATCGGTGTTCCCATTTTTTGGAGGTAAACGTTCAACTATCATTCCATTCTCCTCAACCAACGGACGCATATGTAAGATGCGTATCTACTAAGAACATATTCGCCCATGTTTTGGGGGCTGCTGGCCATCGCTAATTTTTTCAATTTTCCAACCGCGTCTTCGTCCATGTAGCAGCTGAGTTTGATGGGATTGGTCTGTGGAGCAACATCGTAGACCAGATGGTCTAGCCTTAGATAGAAAATGATCATACAACAAAAGAAATCTGGACAAATCATATTTAGCAGGTGAAGTGTTGTGAATCATCATGGCTACTTTGGAGCCAAGTAACTTGTGGTGTTTTGGACGGGATTTCCAAAGTAGCCTGCTCGCCTCCAAGGATTCCATCGCAAGCCCTTGGCTGTAACATAGAATATTTGAACAAACACTGCGAATGCACACATCAGTAACACATGTAAAGCACACACACACAGCCAGTGAGTGTCAAGGGACAGTTGTGGGCTGAGTGGAACAAATAATTCGACTTCTGTAAAATCTCCAAATTGCATGGGGCCAGTTGCACATGGCCATTGCCACCATGGTCCATCACTTTGCGCATGGTCACAAGGTTGACAAGAACAGCAGCCCGCATCCTAAGCAGCTCAAAAACAAATGGGGAGGATTATCCGACTGACCGATAGAGAGAGAGAGAGATAGCCAACTAACTGGTATTATCGAAACAAACATGGCGTTGAGCCAAGTAGCTGTGCATGGGTATTGGCAGGATTTTCTGAAGCCACTTTCAGTGTGATCATCTCCAGCCACTGTGCCATAACAACAGCTTCCTCAGAGTCAACAACATGATGAGGAGACAAATCTTTGTTTCAGTGATTTCAACGAAGGCAAGCACACCTCAATTTGTTAGTCTAGAATCTGCTGCATTGAGTCGACCCCACTGGATCCAAAAGTTGCATTTTCTATGAAATGGGAAAACTAAAAACAACCTCGGGAAGTGCGCTTTCCGACACGCGAATGACACGCAGACCCGGGGTGGGGGCACCCCCTGACACGCATTAAGGGGTGCCGTAGTGACACCCCTTAGGCTAAGGGGTGCCGTAGTGACACCCATGACCATACCCCCCGACACGCAATGACACGCGAATGACACGCACCAAAAACGCGTGTCAGATCAAAATCGTGGCCAGGCCCAGAAATCAAGAACATGGAAACACTGGAAACACTTTTCCTCAGGGCTGGCTTTAAGGTGAATTTTATCAATAGTGGTACTATATATAAACTAAAATTGAGTTCATTCTCCAAAAATTAGGCAAGCTTCTCTCTGGCAACCTTTTGTTTTTCTTTCGTAGCTGGAGATAGGAAGGTGACACCCTTGCGTTTGTTCTTCGCATGGTTTAACCGCACCTGGTGTCCTCGATGTGCCTCAGAATCACAACGATCCAACCTGGAAAAAAAACAATTGATGGGAGTTAGCAACCAAGTTGAATTATAAACTCATTAGTATTAGGGAAAACAACATTAATAAAGACACTGGTCCCAAGTAACTTGCTGCATGACCCAGGTATCCAAGTCGTCATCGCTTCGACCAAACCCTGTACTGTGTTATGAAAGAATATGATAAACTATATGTTGGAAATCCCACACAGCACAACATGGCACCAAACAAAACTAAGTTGAAGACGTAACTTCTTTTTGCGGATGATCTCGTACAGGCTTTGTCGAATCGAATTTTCCCGGGGTACTTTGGACAGGGAAGACTTGGTGAATGCAGCACGCAGCCATAAATTTCCAGATATTCTGATATCGCCACCCGGCCAGAATTCTCCAGTCTTGCGGATCCATTGTACACAATTGTCATCCATCCGATCCATCAAGGCTTTTGTGAAATACCTGATTGGTTGATTGGTAAAATACAGTTTCAGTAATATTCATCCCATATGTTTCAGGGAAGGACCCAACCCTAACTCCCACCCCCATAAAATATAGTGGTTCAAAGCGGTGACAAGCTTCACAGTCTCCCCATTGCTAGTCCGACGCTTGCGCTTCGGCATTGCTAGCGCACCAAGGGGGTAGCAAAGATCCAGATTGGAAATTATCCTATGGCATCTATGGCTTTGGTAATGTTTATTCTTCAAACGGCATACCAATAGCTGCACAGCTCATTCTAGTGGATCTGTATTAGATGCCATCATACCACTTGTCATCATCAACATGAGCCGCTGCCAGGCTGCGGATGGAAGTGAGCGACATACTATGACAGCTTTGATGGCCCCAGATGGGAAACATTAGGTATGAAGATGAAATAGCCAAAAATGGGATGATAACAACCATGAAATCAAACGGGTGCCGTAGCGAAGCCCCTGCCTAAGGGGCGCCGTTTTGGCACCCATTGGCATGTGCTGGTATATATATATATAATGTTATCTGTGTGTGTGATATATGCACATACATACGCACACAGGCACACACACATATATATGTATATACATATAAACATATGTATATACATATATATACATATATATATATACATTATATATATACATACACACACACATATATATATATATACATATACATATACATATTCTGTCATTGTTTGTGGGAACGCCCCGTTAGAGGCCAGGACTTGAGATTCTCGTTTCTTTTTGCAAATGGCCTGCTGTGGGTATTGGTCAAACTATGTCAAACTGCTTTCGACCCAAGACATGGATGATGTGGTTAAACTATGGTGAAACTATGTTTAAACTACGTCATAGTTGAACGTTTCGAACACAGGTGAAACAATGGAAAAAAAACACCATTGGGTGCTCAATGGTACCACCTTGTTGATCCCAAAACGTTGCGCAGGTGGCTGGAGGAGTTCACTGCTTTGGCTTCGCTTCCCACTTCGCTTTTCGTCTCCAACAACCCCTTGCATGCCGAACAGGTGGCCTGGCAGAGCGGCTTGGCGGAAGATTTTTCATCCAGAGCCTGGGATCGAGCAGGGGTGGGAGAATCATGATTGTCCCCAGAGCTCGTTGACTTTTTGGAGTGTGTTGGAATTTGCCCACGAAAATGTTGTAGAAAGATGTAGAAAGTCATGTTTCACGCTAGTGATTGATGCTTTCCATGTGTCACATCTGGGTTCTTTCCGTGTTTTTTTCCTACCACGCAGGGCCTTCCGGGGAACCCAGGTGGGGTACGTCTCCCAGTACTGCGACCTGTCACGCTGTACATCACTGAGAGGTATCAACCGGATCGCCCGGAAGATGTCTTGGTCCCAGAACCGCGGGAAGCCTGTGTCCTTTACTGCATCTTGCGGGCCTTCACACCAGCCACTCAGTGGCTTTGAGAACAACGTTGGGGCCTGAAAGACAAGACATCATAGGAGGATAAACACTATATGCACACAATACACACATAATTACATAATTATACACAATATACATGTACAAGTACATAATGCATATATACAATGATGTACATATACATATATATATTATATATATATATGCTAGTACAAAATATTGAGACGGACTCACAGCGCTCCTTTCCGAAATGAATGCAACCAATATCTATGCATCATATTGCAGGCCAAAAACACTGAAAGATACCCCTGAAGGCCATGCTTTCCAAGACCTCCATGGCACCGACTGCGGTAGGCCAACTATCCGTTGAAGTTCTTCGGAAAGGTCGACACCGACCGGAGCTACACATCCTTCGCCAGGTTCCGATCTGTGGTGATCTATCCCCATGACTTTGCGCTAATGACCTTCTATGAGTGGCCTGTCGGACTTGTCATGATTTGTCATGACGAATTTTCAGGTCGTTGTTTTGCTAAGCAATTGGATCCATCCGATCCATCCCCAAATTTACCATTTTTATGGGTGGTATAAACATAGTATAAGCCATCAAAATAGGGGTGGTTTCGGTTGTGATTTTTTGGAATGAGCCCAAAGGATCCCAAAGGATCCCAAAGGATCCCAAAGTGCTTGGCAACCTGCCGGGGAGTCAATCAGAGTAGTGATTGCAACAGCTTGGCTGCCCCTCTTTCAACATGGTTTAGTATTGCATCACATTGCATTTATGTTCATCTTATGGGGCCATTTGGGGGTATCTAGAATTTAACATGTTCCGTAAAAACGTGTTTTTCCCCACCTGCCAGGTGAGGGTTGTTAGATTTTATCTAAGTTGCCTTCTCCTGCCTCCTCTCCTCCTCCTCTCATCGTCCTCCTCTCGTTGTCCTCGTCGTCCCTCTCGTCGTCCTCCTCTCGTTGTCCTCGTCGTCCTCGTTGTCCTCCTCGTCCTCCTGCTCAACTGCGACTCGCGATCCACAGTGTTCGCTGCCGGACCTCAACCACGACCATCCACGCCCAGTGTTCCCTGCCGGACCTCAACCACGACCATCCACGCCCAGTGTTCCCTGCCGGACCTCAACCACGACCATCCACGCCAGATAGAATGTTAGAAGATATGCCAGATAGAATGCCAGAAGGTATGCCAGATAGAATGCCAGATAGAATGCCAGCTAGAATGCCAGAAGATATGCCAGATAAAGTGCCAGAATGTTTGCCAGATAGAATGCCAGCAGATTTGCCAGATAATATGCCAGAAGATATGCTAGATAGAATGCCAGATGGAATGCCAGAAAATTTGCCAGATAATATGCCAGAAGATATGGCCGATAGAATGCCAGATGGATGCCGAAGATTGCCAGAAACATATGCCCAGGAAGATATGCCAGAAGATATGCCAGAACATCTGCCAGAAATATGCAGAACCTCTGCCAGAAGTATGCCAGGTAGAATGCCAGAAGATATGCCAGATAGAATGCCAGATCGAATGCCAGAAAATATGTCAGATAGAATGCCAGAAGATTTGCCAGTAAGAAAATGTATAAATGTCATGGTGGGGATCACACGAAGTAAAGTATTTTTCCTAACATGTTTTTTCGTCCATAGCTTGCCCCATTTGCAGGTTTTACACCATGGGCATGCCTTTGTTTATGCCGGGGCACCTTTCCAAGTATCTCTTCCCTTTTAGCGCCTCAGTTCCTTTGCTGGACTGGCTGTCTGATGCTTGGCGTGGGCTAGATGCCAGAGCTGCGAATCTCAGGAACCTAAAATGGAGGTACTGTACCATATAAGGTCATATTTTGTGGGGATATTCCCTTACAGAGCCCTCAAAAATAGGCCTTGTTTATGGATATATATGGTAGGTACCTCCAATTTAGGGCCCTGGAATTCCCGTTAGTTTAGGGTTGAAAATAACTTGGGAATATTCCCCATAACTTGGGTTTAGGTATAGCCCCCATCATGAAAAATGGGGTAATTCGGACAATTCTGCTGGAAACCATTGGTGAAACATCGAATCTTCGTTAGTGTCGTGTCAACAAAGCCACGCTGATCCAAACAAAATAAGGACATTTCATGAAATTTCTATTTATAACAGTTTATAATTAACTGCGTCGAAATTTTAACAAATAAGAATATTCTCCCATTTTCTTCGATTTTTTCCAATTCATCATCCTTCACCATCTTCAAACCGCTGTTCCCAAGGACGCGCCCTCGTCCTTCGAAGAACGGCCGCCCTTCAGCCCATTGAGCCTGTCAAGCTCGGAAGCCCTGCGCTACTGGCAAGGCAAAATCGACTTCTTCGCGCTGCCCGCGGTGCAGCTCTTCGAAGGTGTAGGGCATTTGATGAATCTCTTGCTGGAGGCAGGAAGGATCGGGGCCTTCTGAATAATTTTAATTCATATGGGGGTTGAACATAGGGATTTAGATGGATAGGGAATGATAGGGATTAATAATGATTGGGAATAGATGGGGTTGAAATAGGGGTTTACATTGATTAATATGGATTAGTAGCGATCAATAGGGAAGACCACTGGGGGTGTGGGACAGCGGAAATTATGAGTAGGATTTCATATATAGTACACTTGGTATTCAAAAAGATATAACTTCATGGGATTTTAAGGCCCATGTTGAGATCTGGGGCCCTTAGAACTATGGATATCCCGTCATGACAACTGGACAACAACTGCGCCCCCAAGTTGGTACTACTTGGAGAATCACCAGGGGCCCACCTGATGCTGAAATTGGGGATTTCCTGTTTCTTCCCCCAAGATCAACGAGTTGCTAGCTGATGCTGCATATTCAAGGAGTTCGAAGAGGAAGGCCATACATTGGTTTATGATTTTCCATTGATTTGCTCCATTGGTTTATGATATTTGTTTGAGGATATGTACAGATTTGGGAAACATCAAGGTGCCGGTTCCAAGCCAAGTTCTTTTGACTTGCGATCACTTTGGGTGAGCAGATCTCCCATGTTCATCCATGTTCTCCCTATCTGGGTTGCCCTCTTCAACCGATACCACCCTATCTGCCCATTTCTACTGGATGGGCTAAGGATACCTTGGTTTCCTCTTCCCAAGTCACCTATCACGTTCCGGGTTTTCATTCCCATCAAGTGCAATCATTGGGAACTTTCACCATTGATGGCATCCTCCATCGAGATGCCAAAAAGAGAAACTCCCATTGTTCAATGCACATTTTTTTTGATCACCGATCTATTTTATTTGGTTGGTGGGTTGGAGCATCTTCTTATTTTCCATATTTTTCCATTTCATATATAGGGGGGATGTCATCCTGAACTCAACTGACTTTCATATTTTTCAAGATGGTTAAAACATGGTTTTTAAAACCACCAACCAGTTATTTTGTTTGGGCCAAATTCCCAGGCACCAGCCATGCTTTTTGGCCTGGCTTTTTCCACCATGGCGATCCATCGCGTACCCAGGTGGATCTGCAGGACATCAGCCAGCAGATGCTGACGAACCGTCGCATCCGCCTCGAAACCGGCACGGCCTTCTGGTTATCCGTGGCCAACTCGGCCTTGCGCGATGGCATGGCGATGCAAAAAAACGATGGGATTTTTTTGGGGGAAAAGGTGATACCGGGGGGGGGAAATGGGAAGTTGGTTGATGTTGCGAAGCTTAAGTTTCTTTGTAACATATATTCTGTAACTAGCTGCTAGCTTATATACTGTAGCTATTGTTCTTTCTAAATGGAGAATGATTTTATATGATTTTATGATATTTTATGTCGGTTGCTATAGCTTGACTCTTCTTGGTGTTTTTTTGGGGGGGTTTCTCCTCGTAGTTTTTTTAAATCTGGACATAGTGGTTGGACAGGATGAGCTTACGAAATCTGGTCCAAAAAGCGAAGTGGAAAATCACCATCTAAAAAAAGGTAGATGAATGGTAGATGAACTATAAATTTCATATGTGCCATTTTCAATAGCTAGATGTTAGTCATTACCAGAGGATTTTTTTGTTTTTTTTTTTAAGTGGGGGATCCCCAAAACATACCATGGTCATCCATGACGACTGGATGAGTTGGGGTACCCCCATTTAAGAGGAGACCTCCATATATGCTCACATTTTTTCTGTTTATATAAATCAATCCATTCTGGTGGATGGGTGTGGGTGTGTGATGTGTGTTGCTGCTGATGGTGCTGCTGATGGTGGTTGAACACATTTGTCAAACAGCCGGCACAGCATTGACCAACAGAATGATCCCAATATCATCCATTGTCACAAGATTCTAGATTTCTATTTCATAGTTATGATACTATTTTCTTAGATTTCTATCATAATATACCCCAATATCATCCATAGTTATATGGGCTATAACTATAACTATCTAATTTCTTGGATAAATCGACTTATTCTTTGGATCTTCCAGATTGTTGCCCACCTGTCAGATACAATCTGGTCACATAACTAAAAATCACCATCGTTACTAGGTAGATCTATAAATGGGTCATTTTCCATGGCAAACTGTTAAACGACCTTATCGGATAAACCACTAAACCACCCACAAAAAATCCCAAGAAATCAACATTTGCTGATGCTGAAAAACCACCATGTTTTTTTTTCATCATTTTCCCATTTTCAACCGGGAAAACTGCACGATATTTGGCCTTCACATCATCCATGTCGTTCCCATGGGATTTTCCCAGCGACGATCCGCGAGTTCATCAGCATCAATCGTCGCAAGATCAAAATCATTAAAAATCCCATGAAAATCTCATGTTTCTGGGTGTTTTCCAGCATTTTCCCATGGTTTTCCCATGGTTTGCAGCATTTTCCCATGGTTTTCCCAGGGTTTCAACTGTGGCGTCATCGCCAGGGTCCGTGGCGGCGTTCCTGGAAGAGGTCGCCTGCAGAATCGACACCTTGGGCCTGCAGCTGCAGGTGCTGGTAGATTTACCGAGCCAAAACTGGGTGACAACTTGGAGAATAATATGGAAAATAGTATCATAACTATGGATGATATTGGGATATGGTGATTTACATTGGGATGATATTGGGATATGGTGCTGGTATATTTACCTACTTGGTGGTTAGTATCCACTTAGTAAGTAGCTTATACAAAACCCCTGGTTAGTTCACTGGGCTAAGTAGGGGCAAGGTTCACTGAAATAACGTTTTTTTTTTTAATCCACAACAAAAACTGGGTGACAACTTGGACGCCGGGCAGTCATGTTGGTGTGCTGGAATTCCAACACCATGGTGCCATGGTTCGCATTAATGGCATATGAACCCAACGAGTTATTACCATTGAGTCATTGTTGGTAAGCCCTTGGTTACCCTCTGGTAATTTAACATAGCTATGGAAAATCACCATTTTTAATGGGAAAACTTACTATAAATGGCAATTTTCAATAGCTATGTTAGTTTACCAGAGGGTAAAAAAAAAAGCTATGAAAATCCTGTTAGTAGATGTAAAAAAATAATGTCAACCCCGGATGAATAAACCCCGGTTTATTTATTAGGGAAAGGTTCCCCCAATAGTCATGATTTGATACTTAAATGGTACCTTCCCAAATCAACAGGCTAAAAGGGCCTAGGGGTTTATTAGTCCAGGGTTGACATTACTTACCAAGCAGGATTTCTTCCATCCACAGTATTATTGCCATTGCCATATTTTGGGGAAAAAGCATTTATGAACCAACTCGCATAGCTGTATTTGTTTGAATTTGTTTACCCTCTGGTAATTTAACGTAGCAATGGAAAATCACCATTTTTGATGGGAAAACTCACTATAAATGGCAATTTTCAATAGCTATGTTAAATTACCAGAGGGTACTGTTTTCTTTTGTCATGTTGTAAAGCCAATAATAAAATAACCCCCAATAGAGCCAGAAATCTTCGAGATTTCCGACATCAGCAGCGAACTTTTCGAGGCAATGGATGACCAGCAGTTCCTTCGAGGACGCAGCCCTCGAAGGTCCTATGGCTCTGACATTGCCAGGCGTTTTTTTTTTTCGCTTTTCTGGGCAGAGGATTTTTGGGAGGGTTTTTGGATGTGATGATTTTGCGCATGGAAGGATGGACTTGCCAATTAAAAAAACAACTCCAGATTCCATTTTTTTTTCCGGCATGCCTTCGCTGTGAGGATGCGTGGATCAAGTAATTTTACCGCAATACATAAATGGTGGCCAGATCCCAGTGCTACGCTAGTTTCACTGTTATAGTTTCAATGGAATATGTATATATATATATATACGTATATATATATATATAAAATAGAGAGAGAGGGAGAGAGAGCATGATCCATAAACCTAATAACAGGAGCTTCCCAACTTAACCCCAAGAATACAGAATCCCCACGGCTTCTTCACCGTTCTCATGCTCACCAAAAAACATAATCCAACCATAATGACATTCTGTGTTCCCAACTTGGCCCCAAAAATACTTAAAACCCACATGATACGACTTCTTCAGCGTTCTCATGTTCATTAAATAGATAGCATCATCCACCAACCCAAAAAACATGAACTGGGCAGTGAACATCGCAAATCAGCGGGATCATCATCAAAACGTCTCGGCCTTGTTGATGGGCTTTAAAATGAACCGTTGAGGGAATTGAACCAACTTCCACGGGTGTACAGTCATCTGGGAGTACACTACCTGTCAACCAGGTCATCCAGAGTGGTGACTCGAATCAGAAGTCATCAAGAAATGTTCCAGTTTCGATTGTGCAGAGGCACCAGAAGAAAACATCGGTGCATTGGGCCCTTGCCAAAAGATCAACGCAGTTATCCAAGAAGCACCAAGAAACATCAAGAAACGCTTTTCTAAGGCTTAAAGGCTTAAAGGCTTAAAGTGATGTTTTGCATGCATGTTAAAATATGTTTAAATAACCTGGACACAGCCTCGAAATACTAGCAGTGACCGCACAAAACAATATCTTACTGATTGGGTTGTCCTATCAACCTTCACCTGTCTTAATTAGTGGCCGAAGGCTATGTCTATGTTTAAAAAAACATGAGTCACGGATTCATGGATCAGCCCAACGGATATATATATATATACATATATATATATTACATTTCTTAATGGGATACCCTCTGGTATTTATCATAGCCATGGAAACCATGGCCCGTTTATAGTTGATTTATGTTGATTTCCCTATACCCATATGCTCCAATGTATGCAATATGTACCAACATTTGCCCTAAAAATAAACTAAATGTAGGTAAATATACCAGCACCATGCAGCATGTGGGTGTAACAAAATGGTGATTTTTTTCAGTTCGCTTTCAGGCTATCGGACTCTCGCGCAGGGACCCCAGGGATGCCTGTTGGGAATGGAATAATCATCCCAACTGACTTGAACTCCATGATTTTTCAGAGGGGTTGAAACTCAAAACCACCAAGGAGAAAAGATTTTGGGATATGGGAGAATGGGAAAAACCAACTATGTATGTACCCATAGGATCCATGTATGGTATATATGCTAACATTTGGGGTATATTGATGGTAAATGTTATATACCATATATAGCATACATGGATCCTATGGGACTATGTATAGGTTAAAAACCGGTTGCTTTACCGTAAAATGACTCCCATTGGAATCCCATCGGAATCCATAGGAACTCCTCCAGGGAAGATCGAAGCCTAAGGCCCAAAGTGTGGCTTCAGAGCCTCTGGATCGACAAGGCCAGGATTCATTCGGGAGATTTTCATGGAGATTTCATGGGAATAATCATATTATTCATGTGGATCAATGAGGAATACCATTGCCATGATTTCTGGGGGATAGAATTGATATGGAAATCCGACGATTGGAATTTACTTGGTGTTTTGTTTTTGAACCAATGATTCTTAAAGAAGATATCCAGTAGAATGCTCTAAAGAACCAATGAATGGTCATTTACCATAGCTATAGTAGATTCTTATTGGATTTTACCAGTAAAGAATGGACACGTTCGTTGGAGATTCCGGTGGGTCACATCTAAAAGTTCAACTCTTGGATGTCCACGTTTGTCCACATGTGTTGTTGTTTCAAAAACGGGATGCCACCCCTACAATCCAATGGGTTTCTCAGCGCTTCACTAGAACCAAAATTGCATTGCGACATATTCCGACGAAGTGCGAAAAAAATTCTCGGAAAAACTCGCCTGAAGATGTTTCACCATATCGATAAACCCATCATAAGCTGCAAAAGCATGCTACCCTTTGTACCCTTTGGTAAACTAACGGTTAGCTATGGAAGCCATGACCCATAGAAATAGTTGATTTACCCATTTAAAGATGATGATTTTCTATAGTTAATGTTTTTTTTGTTTGCGGAGGGTAGCCGGGTAGCATGTTAATAGGTAAATCCCCACTTGAATAGGTAAATCAACTATAACTGGGCCATGGCTTCCATCGCTAGGCGTATCCACTGGGTATCCACTATGGCTCCAGACCTCCGGCAGGTCTTCGCACGTATCCGTCCTGGCCCGAGAAGGTGCATGACCATATTCTATATGATATGTGAACAAAATTGAACAAATACATCAATGTATGCATATATATATATATTATAATGGCAATGTTTTTAAATATATATATATATATATTATATCACATACATTGATTTGATGTCCCATTTTGTTTGGTTGGCGCACTGAACTATGGCGCAGGCCGAATCTGCCTGGCGGCAGCTTGCGGCCAGTTGGCAGGTGATTTTCATCGTCGCTGGATTGGTTGAAGGGAAAATCTTCACGCGAAACTGGCTGGTTTTCCCCAAGAAACATTTGGGTTTTCCTGTAAATGTTCCCTCAATCCAGCGAAATGATGTGAAATGGGTAATGAAAAATCAGACAAATTATGATTGACAGGAAATGACTTAACATGACTTAACTGACCTTGATGGCAGGATTGGTAAACATGATACCTCTTGAACGGGTGATTTTGACTGAGAATTCGTGGGAAAAATCTGTGGATAGTACTGATACAAATTACCAGAATGAGGATTAGCCCGACATAGAAACAGCAGTCAACCAGCAGAACCAATCAAATAGGTCTGGGACATGCTGAAGATTCCTGACGATTTCTGCAACAGCTTCCTCAAAGCAACCCAGTGATATTTTTGCTACCCTCCTGTAATCAAATTTGACAATGGAAAATCACCCGTTTATAGATGATTTTCCCACTAAGACCTCCATTTTACACGTTTGATTACCGAAGGGTATTCATTGGAACCTTCAGTGCAATCATCACCTGCGTGTAAGAAATAGCCAATGGATCAATGGGAACTGGATTCCACTAGCAGTTTTAGCTGGGCTCGAAGCCCAGCTCGATTTGTGAGGGAAATTGTGGTCGGGATATCAGAGATAGTCCAAGGTTTTGACCCCAAAGCTGAACAAAATCCTTCGCAGGAGATGGCCAGCCGTGCAGAGGTTGGAGGCGTTTTTCTTGCTGGCGTTGATTTTGACCATGGGTCAACCATGGTCAACCATATATCCAAGGCTAGTGATCAAGTGAATCATATGTGGTTTTATATGGCCACATATGACCACTTCACTGGGGATTTTTCCATGGGATTTCCTATGTCATTGCGGTGCCAACTGGGATGCACCCCCAAGTTCCTACGGGAGCCTCCAACATGGTGACATGTTTGGGGGGCCAATCATCAGAAGTGGTTAGGGTATGCTACTCGCACGGTTACACGTTGCGTTTTGGAACTTTTGGATGCTGCTTTTCTGAGTTTAATGAACAGTTACCCTCTGGTTATTTAACATAGCCATGGAAAATCACCATTTTTAATAGGTAAACCATCTATAAATGGGCCATTTTCCATGGCTATGTTAAATAACCAGATGGTAATATGGTAAAGCCATGTAAACCCAATGTCATACCCGATCCAGCCATAGCTTCGAAGTATGACTGGGCGATGATTTGGTGATTTGGGGGACTACATATACCCTCTGGTTATTCAACATAGCCATGGTATAGATGGCCCATAGAAATAGATGATTTACCTATGAAAAATGGTGGATCTTTCCAGTTCGCTATGTCAGTCATAACCAGACGGTATATGTAATATCCCCACCTAGCATATGGCATGACATATGGCTTACATATGGATTATCAAGCCATGGAAAGATCCACCATTTTTCAGTTCGGTCAACCATCTATTTCTATGGGCCATTTTCCATTAATCATCATTAATCACCATTATTAACCATTATTAACCATTATTAACCATTATTAACCATTATTAACCATTATTAACCATTATTATCACCATCTATTATTTCTATGGGCCATGGCTTAACCATGGCGAACTGTTAGTCATAACCAGAGGGTAGGGACCATCCCCAAGCCCGTCATCCCGGCAGGTCGCTCATCACCCCGGCGGCTCTCACCATATGTTGCTCCACGGCAGGACAGAATGTCATGGGAAGAGACGGTGGGGTATGAGGTGATTACCCTCTGGTTATGACTAACATAGCTATTGAACATGGCCATTTATAGTGGATTTTCCCATTAAACATGGTGATTTTCCATTGCTATGTTAGTTTACCAGAGGGTATGAGGTGTTGTTCATTTGGGGTCTAACGATAAGGTACAGTACATGTACAGTACTGTAGTTTTTTTGACATACTTTAACCATCTCAAGATCTTGAGACATATTAAACCATGCGGACTTGTAAGTGGTAAACATATATGGAATATATATGGAATATTAGTTGCTTGGCCAATAGGAGAGGAAGAAATCCAGCTTCTTATATTTTACAAATATCATGACATTTCCACGTAGTACGTTGACATTTGATGACCGTGAAAGATATGGGTTTGTTTGACAGGGTGCCCCAACATCCAATGCTGAATGATCATTTTTCCTAATAAGATTCCCCTTTTTTTTTCGACACCCATGTGATGGGATATTCATTTTTTTAAATGAGATGTGCCATTATTTAACCCATGATTTTCGGAAGGGGTTTTTCATCCAAAAAACATATGAGGGTGTACAGTGATCAATTCATGGAAGCTTCATCCACACTTTTTGTACCCAGTCAAAAGGCTCAACCACCAAAACGATGCGGAAAAGCAGAATCCAATTCTAAAGTGCATGATCTATGGATAGATGGTGGTTTAGTGGATATACCGTATATATATATATATATCTATCATCCGAATCAGTCATCATCATATAATCACCATTAGTCACCATTAATCACCATTAGTCATCATTAATCACTATTAGTCACCATTCATTCGGATAATTTAACCTCCGCTGATTATCCCACTTACCATCTCAATGATATCCCGCCATCATTCCTCATATGGCCATTACCTAAGATGTCACTGGATGTCACTGTAAATCCCATGATCATTTACCCTGGGGCAAACGAACCCCGGATGTGCACCATCACCATTTTTAGAGGTAATTCATGGTAATTCATCCATAAATGATCATATGGGCCATTTTCATTCCATTTTCCACATCGTTACGGTATGAGATGGTTTATAAATTCCGTTCATCAAATATGGCGAATTTCGACTTGCTAACTGATCTAGCTGCTAGCTGGCTAACCTAGGATTTCTTGGTTTTGGTGTCACTGTCGCCATTGTGACTAAAATGCCCAGCGTGACAGCCTGGCCGCAGGAGCCCTCCAAGGGAAGCACCTCGATGTCTGCGAGCTTCGCGGCAGTGGGGCAGAAGGCGCGAATTCTTGTGGTGGACTCCACAAATGAGGAATCCTGGAGTTCAGGGTTTTTTTGCCAAACAAACAGTAGGGCTTTGATCAACAAGAAGGCTGTATCTAGCTAGCAAAATCCTGCTACAAGAAAAGGTGGGAACTGATGGGAGTTAACCCATGAAACAGGCGGATTTCACAAAAAAAAATAGCATTTCACCAGCAAAAATGTGGGATTTGACACCGGAAACATGGGCGATCAACAGCCAAAGAAGGGAGATGGATTTCCAAGAAAACGGGTTGAAGCTTGAGAACCGTAGAGGATCCAAATGATCTAGCCATCAACTATGATTGATGGATCAAGATGGTTGAGGAAATGTGAGGCAACAATGTGGGGAACCCTTTTTTGGAGCAACGACGTCTGGAACTTCCAAACAGGGCGTAGTGACTGTAGTGACTGTAGTGGTTGCATCCTCATTTTCTGCCACACTACCCTGCTGGCGGTTTCAAATTGTGTTTTGGGATGGTTGAAACCACTACTCTGGACAGTCTGGATATGTCTGGATACTTTATAGGGGCCTCAAACGACCAAACCCCATAACTGAAGACTTTTATTGGTCAAAGCACCAACATGGAGGTGCCTATAGTAAGATGGAGAGAAAGATGCTTCAAGACTGGCACAGATGCTGCACATGGAACTTACCATGCTTTTTGACCTATGTGACATCTGTGGTTCAAGCTGAGTTGCGATGCAACGAGAGCCCGTGTGATGGCCAAAGCCTCCCTGGAGGCCCTGCTGGCGCGTCGCCGCAGTGCCTGTGCGGAGTTCGAGTCGCAGCCGGCCGCCACCACAGCGGACGCGGGCGCCTCCGGCTGCTCCGTTGCCTCGGCGAAGGACCAGACGCACCACCTGCGGGACCTGCAGCTGGGGGAGCTGCTGGCGGAGCGGCGCAACCTCTGCGAGGTCCTGGAGAGTTGCCCCCTGCAGGGCAGTGCTGATGTGGCGTGGAACAAGGAGGTGAAGAAGGAGAAGCAAAAGTTGTGGCTGGAGAGCTGCCCTGCGAAGCAGATCGCGGATGTGAAATGCGAGGATCCACTGGAGACACGGCATGCCAATTTGCCAGGGCGCCTGGCACAAAGAGCCTCAAGTTCGGGTGCAATGGACAGCAAGGTGATACCGGCTCCCATGATACCAGCAAAGGCGGTGGCAAATTACTTGCAGCAGTTGCCAGGGGCAGGAGATGCAGTTGGATCAATCGGATCTGAATTTGTTGAAAAGCACCTGGCCTATTTGAACTTTGAGGAGAACCACCTGCTGGCCATCCTTGGGATATTTCTGCGCTATCATGACCCATGCAGGTTGTCAGAACTGGGCCTGCAGTCAGGTGTGCTGAACTCAGTGGATTGGATCACTCAAAATGTCGGCCCCCCTCCCAGCCCTTTGCGATTTCTTCTAGGCAGACTTGAAGAGCCAACATCTGGCCCTGAGGCGAGGGAAAAGGCTAGGGAGATGGCCAACTGCGTTTCCCAACTCTGCAGCTTCTTGTTGGAAGTTGAGAATTCTCTGGAAGCCGAAGTCCAGATGTTTTTCGTGCTGCTTGCAGCTTTGAAACTGCCCCCAGCCCAGCCAGCCAACTCTGCAGTTGCTCTCTGGCAGGAAGCCACAGAAATGCTTCGTGCCACCCCCAGGTCCACCTGGTCCCTGCTGTGTGACCCGAGCTCCGATGCTTCGAGTCACTCCATCTGTTGTGTGGCGCCGGACGAGGTGTTACAACACATCTACGAACGTCCGGCGGTGGACTGGAGATTGGTGGTGCTGGACCTCCGCAGCGCCAGTTCTGCCGTGGGTTTGCCCGTGTGCGTGCGGCTGCCGCTGACGAGCCTTGAACAGCTGGATCTCTCGTCCCTGCCTCGGGATCCGGCCATCCACCTGTGCCTGGTGGGGGATGACCTGAGCCAAACAGAGGAGCTCTGCAGACACCTCTGTGGGATGGGGATGGGCCACATCTCAATGGCAGATGGGGGTTGGGAACAGCTGGAACAGCTGGTGATGGCCTTAGGCCTGGAGCTGTTACCTCCATCGACTCCATCCCCCAGCCCCCAGCCGCTGCCTGAAGTGCCAGTGCTGCCAGTGTCCAGTTGGATGGATGCCTTGAAGGCGCCATCCTGGGCACTGGGCTGGGCTGAGTCGAGTATGTCGAGTGGAAAAGAGGAGGAGCTCATGGATATTTAAAGCAAACTCATCTCGTTTCACCCTGGGTTTACAGACGCTGCGAAGCGGGATCAATGTCATCACCGAGCTCGTGGCAATTGGATGCATCGCGGTGGGGGAGAAAGATCACCGAAGCATCCCGGGTCAGTGCTCTCCCCAGGGCCTTGGAACAATGACCCCTCGATTAAAGAAGTACAATTTTCAAGATAGCTAAAAGATGCTAAAAGATAGAATGTCACAATGAACCCGGAAAACAAGTTGGAACCAAGAACATCACTTTCAAGAGTTTGTTAAGAACTACGTCTTTTGGGTTGATCCGCATGTTTGTTGGCTCAATGTGCCCAAAGATTGTACTCGTTCAATTCCAAATTTTTAGTTCCTTGATTCTGGCGATATTTAATTATGATATTTGTTTTGCTCTGTATCTCTGTGCTGTTGGTGAAACATCGAGGTTTTCTCTTGCAAATTTCCTCTTTTGTTTGATTGGCTATGATTGAGTGGCATTTTTGTTGGCGAGGCTTCTTAGCTTGGCAAAGAAACACGTTCATTTTGGGTGAAATTGATTTTTGGAATGCTTTCGATCTATAATGCTTAAATCACCATCTTTGATGCTTAAATCACCATCTTTGATGCTTAAATCACCATTTGTGATGCTTAAATTACAATTTCTGCTGGTTAAATCACCATTGTTGATGGTTAAATCACAATTTTTGATGCTTAAATTACCATTTTGATGGTTAAATCACAATTTTTGATGGTCAAATCACCATTTTTGATGCTTAAATTACCATTCTTGATGGTTAAATCACAATTTTTGATGGTTAAATCACCATTGTTGATGGTTAAATCACCATTTTTGATGCTGAAATTACAATTTTTGATGAAATCACAATTTTTGATGGTTAAATCACCATTCTTGGTGCTTAAATTACCATTTTTGATAGTTAAATCGCAATTTTTGATGGTTAAATCACAATTTTTGATGGTTAAATCACAATTTTTGATATATAGTTAAATCACAATTTTTGATAGTTAAATCACCATTTTTGATGATTAAATTAACATTTTTGATGGTTAAATTACCATTTTGATGGTTAAATCACAATTTTTGATAGTTAAATCACCATTTTTGATGCTTAAATTACCATTTTTGATTGTTAAATCACCATTTTTGATAGTTAAATCACGATTTTTGATGGTTGACTCATGTCAACTCCAGGCCCCACAACCTCGGGACGTGTCCTTCAGCTACCATGGGCCGCCGGAGAACGTGGCGAACGTGGCCGCGTGGAGTTCCAGGTCGCGATGTGCGATGCGATCGATGCGGGATGGGATGGGATGGGGGGTTTCCCCAGGTCCAGCATTTCCAGGATTCACAGAACCCAAATCTGGATTTTATGGATTTTATGGATCCAAACATAGGGAAACTATCCTGGAGTAATGGGAGTTCATATAAAAAAACCACATAAAAGTCGTAAAATCCTACTGAATTTTATATGGATTTTAGGAAAAAATGATTTTCTGTAGGGATTTGAAAAAAGTGATTTTTCTGGTTCAACAATCCTCCATTCCAGAAGAACACATAGGGAAACTATCCTGGAATAATAATGGATGACAATAACTCGTTGGTTGGTTTGGAACATTTGGTATATTTTTCCATTCAGTTGGGAATAATCATCATCCCGTCTGACTTGCATATTTTTCAAGATGGTTGAAGCCACCAACCAGAAATCCTACTACATAAATGTATCTAAATGTAGTGATGAATTACTTTTCTATGTTGTCTTTGAATGATTAGGCATGATAGTCCCATTCGAGCAATATTCATCACCAGAGAATTTATATTATATATTTATATTATATATTATTGATGTAGGCGATGATATAGGAACATTTTTTGGGGTTGATGATGGATCTGCATCATTCTTAAATATACTACTTGTATCCGTTGTATCCTGCGGTTAGGAGGGAACTAAGATACAATGGGGATACAATCTGGACGAGTGATTTCCCGTCAGTGACGTCACTGGAATGATGGTAACATGAGGTAACTATCCCCTTAAATTCGCCGCAAGTTTCAGGTTGGTGATTTATTATGACTCAGCTAGAAATATATTCAATTTTCAGATGTTCGATGTGTTCGGTTTAGATTATGCAGAGTCAACAATTCTTGTGCTTAGATCATGCGGTTTTCCAGGTGTTTGATGAACATTTCCTGCTTTAATATAATTACACAATTTGGACATATTCGAACCGACTGAAACTCATTGATGATAATTACATATTTCATATTTCTCCAGATATTAAATATTACCCTCTGGTTATTTAACATAGCCATGGAAAATCACAATTTTTAATAGGTAAACCCAGGTAAACCCAGGTAAACCATCTATAAATGGGCCATCTATACCATGGCTATGTTAGTCATAACCAGAGGGTATCCATTACAGATGGGATGATGATCTAGTTATGCTTTCCACCTGAGCCTGTTATTATTATCTTGCTTTACTGGAGTGGTTGGAGGATGTTCTTGCAGGGTCTCCTGCCGTGATTCGTTGCCGAATGTTGCCGACATCCACTGCTAGGAGAGAAGAACCTCAACTCAGAGCTTCAGTAGCCTCAGGTGGAGACGAACGCAGCTGTTCGAACAGTTCTTGGACTGGGACCATTTCCCTTATGGATTTGTTTTTTTGGTTGAAATCTCTGATGATTTGGACGGCTTTGGTTTTGTTTTTCTGATTTTCTTGGCGTCGATGTTTCGACTTGTCTCCAGGGGAGCTCACCATCCACACACGATTATATCATGCATATAGCCATATAGGGAATTTACATCATTAATTTTCATCCATCTCTCAGATCTGCAAAAACGATCCTTGCTACATTTTATTGTGGATTCAGTGGACCCTTTCCCCAAGCAATCTGGGAGGTCGTTCTGATGGCTTGGACGAGGCACGAGATTGTCAGGTAGATGTTGATGTGATGAACCCCATGCAGTGTGTGACGGGTTCCATACTTGTCATGATGTGGTTGTATATGGTACCCACGATTCAGGACGCACGATTGCCAATCGGTGATGCTCCAAATATTGTGCGTGGTCATGTCATCTAATTAAGAGGTCCTGCCCAAGACCGGCGGGGTCATAGTTGGCTTTCTTCAGGTGTGTTTGATTCAAGATCAACCACCGTTGAATGAGTTCATGGTCAAAGCACTACATGACCCAACTTGTTAAACATAGTGATATTATTCAATAGTATATACAAGATATCTGAGCCTCAACACACACAAATACATATAGCCATATATGTATATGTATATGATTATGTATATGTATATATATATATACAATAGGCACACACACATATGTATAATCACCCCCCGTTAACGAAATTAATCCAGGTGGACCGTTGGTTATCCAATTATTTTTTTTCAATTAATTTTGTTTTGGGTGGTTTTTTTCGAGGACTCTATTGTTCGACTAGAGCTAACACATGCATCCAAGCCCGACTTCGCAGAAGGGTTGTGTTTATTAGATACAGAACCTACCCAGGAATAATGATACTACAATCTGAAGAAGTGGTCGGAACACCTCAAACACTGATGAAACCCATTTAAGCAAAAACCAAAGCAACGAACCGACCACGTAGAAGGACTTCGTGCTCTCATCTACAAACGAGTTGAGGAGCAAAACATGCACCTTGGACACCGAATGAATTGGTATTTTCCCTTCTGGATATAGCTTTGGAGTGCCTGCATGCTGCTTGTTACGGCCAACTCGCCACACAGAGACTGGGAGAGCAATTCGCAAGCCGCTGGAGCCCTCAGATTGCCCCCCCTCCCCCGCGCAGAATGGGCGTACAACAAGCAACCATAGTGATACATACTCATACATAATCATACATAATCATGCATACCCATACATACTCATACATACTCATACATACTCATACATACTCATACATACTCATACATATACATACTCATACATACTCATACATACTCATACATACTCATACATACTCATACATACTCATACATACTCATACATACTCATACATACTCATACATACTCATACGTACTCATACATACTCATACATGCTCATACATACTCACACATACTCACACATACTCACACATACTCACACATACTCATGCATACTCATACATACTCATACACATACATACTCATACATATACATATGCAAATACATACACATACATACATACATACATACATGCATGCATACATACATACATACATACATAGATGCATACATACATACATACATACATGCATACATACATACATACATCTATCCATACATACATACATACATACATACATGCATACATACATACATACATAAACATACATACATAAACATACATACATACATACATACATACATACATACATACATACATACATACATACATACATCTATCCATACATACATACATACATACATACATACATACATACATAGATTCATACATACATACATACATAGATACATAGATAGATAGATACATAGATACATAGATAGATACATAGATACATAGATACATAGATACATAGATATATAGATACATAGATACATACATACATCCATCCATACATACATGCATCCATGCATGCATGTATGCATACATCCATGCATGCATACATACAGGCATCCATGCATGCATGCATGCATACATGCATACATACATACATACATACATCCATACATACATACATACATACATGCATACATACATACATACATACATATGTATTCATATCTTTAAACATATGCATATATATATATAAATAAATAAATATTTGTACAAAAATATATTGACAACTATATGTTCATCTGTACTATATCCACGTAATTCCTGAGAAACAGACACTATATGCGCTAAACTGACAGGCATCACGTCAAGCTCGCGTCTTCCAATCCACACCAAGCAGGTGCGACTTTGCGAAGGAGGTCAAAACTTTTGGGATTCGACCATCAAAATAGGGGAACAAAACATGCTGTTAACGTGGCTAAAACAATGCCCATAAACCCCCCATTTTCCTGGGAATGGTAAAGATATGGTAAGTTTATAACACATATATTGAGGGTGATTTTCCTGGG